AATATAGGACGAAGGGGCTGGTTTCTATCAATACATTCATGTGTATCAGGTATTCCATAAATTTCAGAAGGATGATCTATTACTGTAAAACCTTTTCTGCTACCCGAATTATATATTGAGAATTAATCTCTTCCTGATGATATGCCTCCAAGAATGTTATATTAATTTTCTCATAACAGGATGTAATACCTCATGAAAACTTTTTTTCATATATGCAGCAGAATCTGACAAAAAAACAATTGGTTTATCAAAAGGTATATTGTATTTTGCTAAGATGTAAAAAAGAGTCTGACCAATTGTTGAATTATTGACTTCATCTAAAAAATCAACTGAAACAAGCTTGGTGTAATTGTGGTATGCAAAAATAGTATTCACCACACTACAAGCACAATCATCTAAACTTTCATCCATAATGATAGAAACTGGTTTGGAATCAAATAGCAACTTAAGAGAAGAAAAATGTCTTTTGAAAACATTTGGATATATTTGTCTTAGAGTTGGAGCTTGTGGAATGATGCCTCCTTTTGAAGTGGTATATCAGCACCAACAAATGCATCTATTAAATCCTCTATTACAATTTTTTTGAAATCTGCTGCTCTAAGTGTAGTTTGAAGAGTTTGTTGGCGAGATACTTGTTGTTTAGCTTCATATTTGTTTCATGCTTAATACCATTGACATGACTGTCTATTGTTGATTCGTGTTTCAACCAACAGATTTGTCACAATAAAATACAAAACATTATTCCTGAATCATTTCTAAAGACTCCAGGATATTCTCTCATTTGAGAATGAATTGATATTACTGAATTCTTTAAAACAGGAAGTCAATACAGCTTGTTAAAAAAGTAGATTGATAATATAAATATCGATTAAAAATCAACAAATATGTAAACACCATTCAAAATATATAACTTTAATTCAGAAAATAAATTCTGCAATGTAACCTATTTTTTGTGAATTTTTGTGGTGACATTACTTGGTTTCTTATATCATAGAAATTATGTGAATCACAAAAAATCATCATCCCTGTAGTGAATGTCATAATTAATTTTGAGTTTTGGCATCAGCAAAACAATTTGGGCTGCATGTATCTCATAACAAATAATATTTATAATAAAAAGGATAAAATGACATTATCACGAAATTCAAACAATTGAAAATTGGAATCAACAATATCAATATAGTGAGTTTAATAAAAATCTGCCAAATATAATGTTTTTTATTTGTTATAAGCAATAATTGATAATCTTTAAAATAAATAACTCACGGAATTTTAGGAATGAATTTTTGGTGATAAACTGGTTTTTGAGATTTTTAGTGGTTTATTATCAAGACTTTTTTTTTTTGATAATTTAAGTTTATTATCTAAATCTCTTATCAACTGAGAGTAATGGCTTGTTACACTCTAATTTATTAAAATAAAATATTTTATTTTAATGTTTAATTAATTGTCTTAAATGAACAAATATTTGAATATTTACCACAAGTCTTCCAATGACTTCATAATAGCTTGCATACTCATTTTGAACTGGTACAGTTGTTGACTCTACTAATCTAATTCTATATACTTGAGCAGTTGGCTTGTCCATACTGTATACCAGGGTTGGCAAATGTGCAGTCCATTGATGGTCTATTGGTGGTCCATTGGGTCCATTAGTGTAACACTTTGACCATATTTAGTACTTTATTAATTGCAATGGACCAGTCCAAAATCCATCTTTCTCAATGGACCAGTCAATTTGCCAACCCTGCTGTATACACTTAAATTAAATCCTTTTAAATTGTGAAAAAGATTAATACATTTATAATTAAGCAAATCATTATTTGCAGTAAATATAAAAAATTATCATTGATGATAATTGCAAAAACTTCCAAATTTTCAATATTCAAGTCATCATCCCATTTAATTACACCATATTTTTGGAAAAAATAATTCGAAATCAGGTCATGCATGTCTTTTAACATCCTGTATGCTTTTCTGGTGTCATCTAAATATTTTTGTTTATCATTGAGCCAAGGATGACCCACAACCTCACAAACAAAGAGTTCAAATGACATCAATTTGTGGTCATTTTTGTATTTCATTCATTCTAGTGAGAAATGTTGCATCTGACTTATGTCCTTGATGATGACTCTAAAAAAAAGTAAAGTTTAATTAATATTTAATCAATCCATTCTATAAAAAGAAATGTCAATTCTCCAAACTTGTTTATTGTTTTCACCATTGCCATTTTTGGAATTGCTACTAAATGAATCATTGCTCTGGTCACGGATTCTTTTTTTAGAACTTTGGTTGATTTTTTCTGGTCTAATTAAATCAAAAAATTAAATAATAAATAAAGTAATTTATTTATATTTTAACAAAGAAATAAATTTTATTTACATCAATAATTTTATATCATTGGAACCCCTAAGTGAAATCCTGAGTGGCATCCAAATTGCATCTAACGACCAAGTACTTTCATTTATATCAGATTTTATGTATTTAGTGTATTCATTGCTACTTCTTAACTCAGAACTGAAGACATTGTTATTGTTTATGATCTTAACAAGTGACCTGATTTTTGTATTTGTTTTGTGAGTTAATATTATTAATAATAAATTGGTTTATTTTTATTATATTGTAAATTGAAAGAGATCAATAGAATTAGTGAAAAAAGAGTTAAATAATATTAGTCCCTTTCTATGTCAAATATTCAAGATTTACCAGTATGGTAATTAGATGTATAAAAACTTTTGTTTTTAATATTTAATAAATATATTTGTATATTTAGATTTCTATTTTGAATAAAAATGCTAAAATAGAAATAAAATTTGAAAAATAATTTGACAGCTAAACCAATAGTTAGTAACAAAAGAAATCGTTCAAATATATTAGACAAAGATGATGGAGAAAGAAAGAAAAGGACAAGATCAATTAACTTATGATCTTGTTGTATAAAGTAATAAATATTCTCTTTTGTTTACAATTAACATGAATAAAAGTCTCACCTTTTAAACCTGGAAATGTGATTGAAGAAGGATCTGGTAAAAATATAGATATATTATTCATTCTTATTTTTACTCTACTTCACTTCTTTTTTTAACAAATCATTAATAACGATCTTTTATTAAAATAGTTACCTTGGTCACAAGATGATGGATGATATGAAATTTAGTAGTCACACCAATCAATTAGACACTAAAAAAAACTTGAAAAAGAAAAAAAACGAAATGCAGATCTTTTTCTTGTATCAAGTTACGTGTAACAAATAATAATGTATAAAATATTGCACAATTAATTAACTAATGAATAATGAATACACTAATCTATTTATTATTATTTAAAATTTTTTAAAGAAAATTATGATTTATAATTTGTATATATTTGATCGACATTGCACTTGTATTTATTATTATGATTGGCATAAACACCGTAAATCTGGAATGGTAGTTGTAGGGAGTGGCAATGATAGTAGTGTGGTAAGTACAACAACCAGTACAACTAGTAATAATGAGGGATCGGGAGGATCGAATTCATCACCTGCGCATCATGTAAGCAATTTTTCCACTACATCACAATTAACAAGCACAAGTATGATATCTGAGAATAGGTTGATTAATCTTGATGAAGAAGCAAAATTGGTTTATGGTGTTATTTACTCTTTAAGAAACTTTGTCAAGAAACTTACTGGAAGGTGAGTTGGGAAACAACAGTAAATAATAATATAGTTACAATTATATTTTACAATTATAATAATAATCATCTTATTGTTTATATTCTAATATTCACATATTTTTATTGTTATTAGTCAAGATGGATTTTTATCTTACCGTACATCAACTTATAAATTACATTATTATGAAACTCCAACAGGTTTAAAGTTTGTGATAAACACAGATACAAATGCTGACTCACTTAGACCAGTATTAAGACAAATTTACATAAATTTTTATGTAGAATATGTTGTCAAAAATCCTTTATCTCCAGCTGAACATCCACATGGTGAAGGTGTTAATAACGAATATTTTAAAGCTGCTGTTGATAAATTTATAAAAAGTTTGGCTGTATTCGAATCATAATTTTACTTTGATTTATTTTTCCTAATCTGCATTTAGAAATTAGATTCAAATTTTATTTTCTAATTTTTAATAAAAAATTTTTTTTTGTGAAGGGCTGGCAGCTGTCAAATCATAATAGGAATTTATATATTAAGTGACACATTAGTGAGTTTTATATAAACACAAACAGACAAAATGAACATAACACCATAAAGAATTGCATTTTATAGTGACTCTCAATAGACAGAATTTTATTTTCATTTCTTGCTCCATATTCCTCCATATAATATAGGTAAAGCAACCAATTCAAAGATATAAATTTATGCTAAGCTTAAAATCTCATTTCATTTTAATTGTTGTGGTTTATTTGATTTGTTTTCTTCATTTTTATTTAGCCTAGCTGACATTTGAGCTTTTTGAATAGTTTCTTCTTTTTTAATTTCAATTTTGTTTTGTAACTTCTGAATAGCTCCTTTGCTTTTGGGGTTGTTTTCTTTTTCTTCCTCCAAGGATGCCAATTGATTTTTCAGGTTAACAATATCATTCTTTAATTGCAGATTGCTTGGTTGCTCACCTCTTTCATAACCATCCTCTAAATCTTTTATTTTCAGTTCTTAGGTGCTGATATTGCTGATCTTCATTGGATATTTGTTGTCTGTAATTGGGTTATGTCCTTGTTTCTTTCCTTTAACTGTATACTAAAGCCTTATTATCTTGTTTTCAACTTTCATCTTTCTGTTGGATATCTTTGCTTTTTAGTTGATTGATTTCTTTTTGAATTTCCTTTTTCTTTGCTCTTCATTTGGCCTTCTATACATGAAACCAAGATTATTGCAGATTTGGTCAAAGTAGGGTTGAAATAAGGTCAACATTGATTTTTAAAAAGAATCATTGAATTATCTGAAATAATTATACATGAAACCAAAATTAAATCCCAAAGTCAAAATATTTTGACTTGAAACAATTACATAGTAAAAAGTTGATTAATTGTTGAATTAACTCGCCCTTTTATCTTTTTGTTGGTTATTACCTTAGTTTGAGCCAAGAACCCATAGAGATTGGAATCAACTATTTTAGTCAACTAAGGTAATTATAATCAGTCAATTAAAATTTTTTTGATCAGCTAAAACAGTCGACTAAATAA